TCACGAAAAGTATAATTTTATTATGCACGTACAACAATAACATTTTCAAAAATTTATACACTAACTGGAGGTTAAACAGAAAAGTTTATAATATATTGTGACAAAATTATAATTCTGGATTAAACGGATTAAGATTCGAAATTTTTAATAAGAATTCACAGTTCAATATATATTTAAAAAATAGGTACATCAAACGGTAGAGTGCTTTCTTTTACATTTTTTGTACCGTTTTTTCAAGACGGTAAATTAATTATTGTAAATAGCTGTAAATTATATATTAAAAATCATTGAACGAGATGAAGTTTTTTTTTTAGAGAAATAGGCAAGAAACGATTAACCTGGTTCTCTTCTCTCTGATAACTATATATATAGTCATTATTATTCGGCGATTTAACTAATTGCGGCATAATTCATTAACTCACATATATAATTTTCTTTTATCGTAGCAATACTTACTGACGATAAACCGCAGAAAGTCATCGACGAGAGACGCGGCAAGATAAATGCGCTACGTATATGATAAAATTTATAAATACGCAATTTGAGGCATATCATGTCACATCTGATCGTATTTCGATCAGGGACACACCGTACGAAATCGGTGCCAGCCCGATTGCGCACGACAAGTATACGTCTCTTGAATTTTAAATGTCAATTGTAAATGTTAATTAATTAATCAATTCATCTGTTTTGTTTTAATCGTTCTATCTTATTAACTATTCGCATCTTTCGTCAAGATTAAGGATAATTCTTTCATTATTTTCTTCTTTTGACTTTAAAGTATATGTTACGCACGCAAAACTGCCGCTCGACGGCCCTTTGACAATAACATTATGTACGATCATATTTATATATATAACGCTTTTTTTTATATCAATGTAACAGCTACCAAAGAGAATCACGGATATGTACAATTAGAGATATGCCCGGTCGATGCATTAAGCTTATTTCGAATGATGTATAATTCGCATCAGATTTTAGAATAGAATTTTTTCTCTTTATAATTTTATATGTATATTGACACTGACATTGAAATATGGTAATCATTTGAAATCTAGCATCAAGCATTAAGTGAAATTGTATTTTAAGACTATAAGTAAAAGTTCATCCTGAATTTTGACGCGAATTATAGGTCATTTAAAGTGTGCTTTAACATCTATTCATTCAGCCTTTTGCTTCATCTTGAGGATAATCTTCCATTCGATTTCTGTCGTTCTGCCCATCTCCCATTCTTCATGTTCTTCCTTTCTCCTACTTTCCTCGTGCGGTTCGCATTTTCGAAGAAAACAAGGAGCCTTAATACTGGTACCGTTTATATTTAGGATCGGCTCCTAGGAGCTCCTTCGGTAGTTTCCTTAATCAGAGTGGTCCCAAAAATATTAAGAAGTAATCGTTTCATGTGTACGCTCTTGATACAATAGTCATCTTTGAAATACGCTCACCATGTTCTTTAGAGTTAGCCTCGAAAAACGAGATAAAAGATTGAAAATATCGTTGAATGCGGATGCCGTTGAAAATGTTGTATAGTAAAACAACATTGCGTTTAATATATCATGAAGAAAAGTAGGATGTTTTATTTATTATCTCGAAATAAATTCTATTTAAAACACTGAATATAATAAATAATATCTAAGTAATAACAAATAATAAATTTTTGTGTGCATGCGTTGATGATAGCTATTAATGGAATGAATAAATTAAATAGTTTGCGCAGAGTGAATAGTATATCATCATTTTAATTAAACAGAGATACTCTAATTTTGCATGTAATTCACATAACGTGATTCTCACAATTCATAACAGAACATCGAAGTTTTTCTATTTTTTTTTTTTATCTATTTCGTTTTATCAAACTGAAGTCAAAGTTAGAGTGAATTAAGTAATTGTAATTAATTTTATTTTATTAAAGAAAATGTAAATTTTTAATTGTGATCTTACTGGGAACAATTTTATTTGCTAACAGCGTTCGTGCTTTCGGGGGTGAATTTGACAATTGCATGCACTTTGTTGCAACGTTTGGCGGCGGCACGTAACAATGAATGAATACAACAATTGCAACCGAGATGCAACGCTTGATAGATACGATCCTTTTACAATCGATGATTTTCTTGATATGGGGGTTTAGTCGGAGGTCCAAGGAGCGTCGAATATTAATTACAGTAATTAATTAACGTTATTAGTAGCCATTGTTCATTGCTGCTATATACATAATGTTTCTTGAGGATGATACGTGTTAGGTAAATACAGTTGCGGTATGTACCGGGATGTACTTTAATCTTGCAGTATTTAATGTAAATTACACGTAACGATGAAAGTATATGTGTGTTTGTCGCGTTTGTCAAATTATTGCACGATTTCATGATTTATTCGACTTCCGTTGTTACATTTAAGAAATTTTAATTGTAACTATATACTCGCGTGTATAAAGTAACCAGAAAACAAAAGAAGTTAAAAGAAGGAAAAGAGATAGGAGTAGGCATAATCAATTATTCAAACAATTAATTGATTATTTTTTTCGTCTTGATGGTAAGACTGACGGACAAGATTATCTGTAGCTTAATTGTACTATAGGTAGTCAAAAAGCACAATCAATTTACAATCGCATCTATAATTTAATATTGTTTTTTTAAATAAATGATCGGTTATTCTCATTACTAGAAAAAGAGAAATATTCTAGATTTCTATAATACGGCAATACGGATTATCTTTCCGAAGATATAGAGGAAGAAAAGGAGAAATTATAAAGAAAAATATATCAAATAAAATTTACTTCTATAATACAGAAACAGTAAGCAATGAAAAACACATTTTGAAGAAATGGAACGTATAATCACCTTATACTCGTAATATTGTCAAACGCGTTGGTATTAGTGATAGTAACATGCTGATCAGCGTGTGTATCTGAGAACATGTTTTATAAAGATTGCAAACTAACAGTATCATAAATATAGGTGGTTTAGGTTCTATTTCTCTTCAGTAATTTCATCTATAAATTAGACAGACAGATTGATTTATTTTTCTTTTCACAGTTAGCAAATAGAACAACTGTTTTCGGGTCTCACTGATCTATTCTCTTCTATACTCTATCAAATGATATTTCTTTCATTTATCAAATGACGTTCTTTATATTTTATTTGTTTTACTTATACACAATCAGAGATATGTGTATAAATGTAATTGCCCTATGTGTTCGTTTTTCATTTTTCCACTCATCTGTTTCGCGCATTTGGTCTCTTATGTGGATATGTGATTACGTTTCTACGGAAAGATATGAAAAATAAGGAAGGAAAAAAATGGTATATCCAAAAATATACAGAGTCCCCAGTGACGTCGCGAAGCGATCTCGAAGAAAAATATGACTAGTGTATATATCATTATACTTTTCTCACAGTATTAAAAAATCCCGGCGTTTTTGTGTCATACAGTTATACAGATTCGTCTAAAGAGTCAGTCTGCGGGGCCATCTCGAAGAAATACAATATAAGATACTTGGAACGATTCGGACGTGGAAGACGGGGCAAGGTTATCTCGCGACCTCACTGGTTTGCGGCGTTAGATTCCATATTGTTTCTTATTGTTAATTAATTAACATTATTAGCGAAATTATTTTCCATAAAATTAGGCTGCCGGCTTCGAGTGTGCGACGAAGATCATCAACGCGCGAATGCCTTGTCACGTGAAAAAATAATCGAATAGAGCAATAGCACATTCGGACGCGGTTTTCCATTGTATCGACACTCCTTGGTCTGGTATTTACAGTCTATGTATACATATGCTCGCTAAAACAGTCAAGAGAGAGGGACGGTAATCGAGAATGCAACACCGATCTACCCTCTAGTGTTAACAATATATAATAAATATGTTCTTTAAGTAGCAACTCCCAATATATATTATGATACTCTCATCGGATTCTATACTCAAATTCCTTATCACATGGTCGACTAGACGCAGAAAGAAATTATTAACATTAATAGAGTGAACAAACAAAGTGCGATAACAGCGATATATAACTTTATTATTACAGAGTTTGTATACGCGAAAGCGTAAAGCCCATTCTACAATAGGCAGTAGCAGTAATGGATTAAGGAATAGACGTAGAAATCAACAAATCACAGTCGAATGTGAGGAGGATAATTAACTATCATTGGTCGATTTCTACGCCTACTCCTTAATCCAGTACTGCTACTGCCCATTGTAGAATGGACTTAATTCTCGTATCAATGGAAAACCTCAGGTACGACGTAAATGATAAAAATGATGCTTATAGATGACGAGAAGTCACATGAAGCTACGTAATTTCTTTGGAGATGCGATATATCGATTAGACGAAGGCGGAAATCTGATACATTTCAAATGAAAACACGTTCAACAGGGAAGCACTTCTAATACATCTAAACATTATGAATATTACGCGGATCTAGAATCACTTAGAATCGTCGTTTGGCAAAATGTTTAGAGATCGCCCGGTGCGATTTCTCTTCTTTTTTCATTGTACAAAAATAATAAAATCAGGCGCGACGCGTGGTATTTAATTTCTTTTCGACGCGCCAGCGCGTCTCTATCGAACGCGCAAGCTGCAGCATAAATTCACGTCTGATATAAATTTACTGCTACGTAACTAAATCCAATATAATGCTTGGCTTTCATGCGAATTTAAGGAGATTTAAGAATCGTCGCTTTGCCACTTAATGATTGTACTATGTCATTAGTTTATATATGCTATACATCTTTTTTGAAACTCTTGAAAAATCTTTGAAAATGACGGCGTAATGATCCCGATGTCGATATCATTCTCTTTGAAAAATTCAATTTGCCGAAGTTATTTTCTGCAGTGATGGCGATTCGTTCATTCAATATTTCGTTCAAATATCACAAAGATAATCGAGTTTAACAATGCTGTGTTGTTTTCCAGACATTAATGTTTCCCAAAGAATTCTACTTTTTTTCTTGAAGAAATTAATCTTTTTCTTTTCCTATTGGAAAGACATATTTTTTTGCGTAATATTATCACATAATCATTGATAAAAACACATTAATATTTCTTTAGTAGCGCGATATTTAACTATTTTGATCGTACCACCTGTCCTATCATTTGACTCAATGATTTACAGATTCTAACTTATCCGATCGTCCGTGTGACGTTTTTGTATTACATAAATTCTTGAGACAAAGTGAAATCTTTCGGTTCTCTGAAGCTCTTCTTTTAGTTTAAGATCGCATCTCGATAGGATCGTCAGCATAGAAAATGTTTTGCAATACCAGAAGTAGTTTCTGATCATATAATAATTGGACTACGAGCTTATGGGTGACTTCTCCGAGCGGCGAAGATCGATGATATCGACGACGCCCTTGACTGCCACTATGATTTCCAGCTCATCAGTTTCCTGAACGAGACCTTCTTCAGTTGAAAAGCAACATTCAGTATGTCAGATTCGCGCGTATCTTCTCCATCAGAATGTACTTCTCGTCTACGTCCCGGCATCATTAGCCGATGTCTCAGGCCTCTAGAAATGGGGTCCGACAATGCTTCCGAAACAGGCACCTTTTCTTTGCTAGATCCTGGCAGGGATACCGATCTGCCCACAGAAAATCCCTTACTAAGTCTATCGAGGGTTGCTGGCAACAAGTTCCGTCTCGGAATGGCTTGTTCTCTTTCTCTGAGAATAAACCTACCGAGAGTTTTCCAAAAGGCTTGCGTGGTGTAAACGTTTTCATCGTCACTCAATACTCTTAACTGACGATTTCCGCTTCCGACAGCTCCCGCACCACCCCATTCCAGCTCCTCGACCAGGGCAAACTTGCTTGGGTTCTCCATTCTTCTGGCTTTTATCAGAGCTTGTGCTAACACATCTTGAGCCGAGCTGCTTATCGGCACACGTAGAATCGCATAAGGGATCTCCGGTGAGACGTTATAAATGCAGACTAGAAAGGTGTCTGCCTCGTCCCATATGTGAGTAGATTGGTCCCTCGTGTTGGAATCGTTGAGCTTCGAGTGGCCGGCCGTGCTCCTGATAGAGGCGAGCCACGCTCTACTGCTTGGATCGTCGCCTACTCGCTTCAACAAGAAACGACCTTGCCCTTTCCATAGGGCCTGTGCTTGAAGAGGATGTTCTGTAGGATCCAGCACACGTTGAGTCGGTAGTTCTTCCTTGTCTCTTTTCTCCCATCCGCGAGATACTTCCTCTACCAAGATGTACTCATCTACATGATCCGGCGATATCCCAGCCTTCTGTAACGCTTGCAACATCACCTCTTGCGTAGTACTCTCCTGGGTTACCTTCAGAATGGTATATGGCTCGTCTGGTATTACATGATAAACCATTAGGAAGAACATTCGTCTCTTCAAGGTGACGCCACCCATGCACAAGGATCCAGGATCGACGGTGCTCAGTTTCTCAGGCTCTTTGCTCGACGAGAGACGCTTAGACGACTCCTTATGATCACGGCAGCAGGTGTTATAGTCCAAACTCTCCTCCTCCAAGCGGGAATAGATAAAAAGCGTAGAAAGGGCTAGTGGCTTGTTTTTACAAGATCGTAATCGGACGTGTCGGTAACCAGGTCGTAAACATTTAAGTGGTATTACGCGTTGCGCGATCACATGATGAGAGCTCGCTTCGATAATTCCAAAACGTAGGAAGGCAAGATCCTTGAACATCACTTGGAAACAGAATTTTTCGTTCCAGATTGGATTCAATGCATTGTTCTGGATAACCTTTGTTTTGTGTTTCACGCAATCGATCGGTATACCAACCAACTCAACCTCAACATACGTACTGGTGACGAAGTTCGTAACCGAAACGTATTGTCCTGATACTATTGATAAATTTAAATGCGCAGAATGCAGTCCGTCAAATTCTTTATCCCAAGGGTTGAATCGCCTGTAAAAATATTTGTAATTGTTCAAGAAAATTTATTTAAATAATTTATATGAGCGTTCAAAAATAATTCCTTATTTATCTATTTTTTTAAATACAAAGACATTCTATTATAGCAAAGATAAAACTTTACAATGTGATCAAAAGTTATGATTTAACAACTATTGCTTATGATTTATAATTAATCGATTTCTTAATGATTGTATGCTACATTCATTATTATCAGTGCTGCATAACTAGAAAATTTGTAAGAAATACAACAGTGTGAATTCACCTGTACATCATATGTCCTTTATCCCACATCACTGAAGGTTTTCTAACATAACCACATTGACCGCTTTGCTCAAACATGGCTGAGTTCAGATTTAATCCCGCGTCATCAGTTTGATAATTTAACGCAACCATTTGGATCCCAAAAGCCCAAAATATTACAGGATTGAAATTTGTGGAATCAATACGCATCCCCGCAGGATACGTTCGAATGAGTTGAGTTTCAGCATGAGCGACTACACCTAACGGTTGCTTCCTACAGATCTTCTTTGCTGAGCTTTCGTTTAAAGATGAACATTGGAAGCAGGCCGGCATTCCACGAGTAGATCTAATAATATAAGAGCAGAAACATACATATACAACTATGTTTTTTATTTACAAAATCAGTATTTGTCGATTATGATGACGTCGAAAAGTTTTAAAAAGAAAAATACAAAACGCAAAAAAAGAGCAAGATACCAGAAAGTTTACGGGTTATCGTCGTGTTTTTATCCATTGCTAATGGCATAAAACACGGCGATAATCCACAAACATTTTGGTATTTTTGAAAATAATACCCGTGAAAATCTCAAAAGTATTATTAAAATAAGAGTCAATTAAGGAAATATAATGAAACAAAAATATGCATATATAATACAATATATATAAGTATATACATATGTATTGAAATGAATCGACACAATACTTTACAATGAGAAACTGACCTGAAAATATTATCGATGTTACTGCCTCCGCTCGCGATCGAGGTGGATGTCGAAAGTGATTGCGGAGATCCTGATGAAGAAGCTATACTGCTAGGTCCTATACCGGCGATGCTGTGTCTCTGAACTGGTCCTGTATGCGATTGATGACGTATTTTTCCCGGTCCGACTGGCATGGTATTTAGTCCACGAAATTTAATCGCCTGTAGATAAATTACTAAATCCGACAGCTCCTTGGCTATCTGACTGCTTTGCTTTTGCGTCTTGTCGTCCACCCCTGGGTCCGATTTTAAACGACCGTGCGGCACTTGGCCGCCACCCAGATATCTCTCGTAACTCGAAATCGAATTATCTATAAATTGCACGTCGAGTGATTCGTTTCAATGAGTTTTTAATTGATTGCAATTACTATATTTCTCGGAAGCAAGAGAGAGAGAGAGAGAGAGAGAGAGAGAAAAGGTTGAATTTATATTAAACTCGGAGATAAAAGCGGTAATTTAGGATACAGTAACAATGTTGCACGTTGCAATATATTTAGATTAAATTTGGATAACTCCGATATTCTTTTTCGGGGGAAAATATAGATCTGATTGATATCATAGATATCATAGATTAAATTTTCCAAATATTAATAATGATGCGTATATATTATTTTTACCATCGATGTTGTCATCTTCATCGTCATCTTCTTCGTCGTCTTCATCCTCGCTAAAGTATTCGACGACTGATGTGCTGCTTACATCAGTTCGCATTTGCTTCATGGAAGATGCGCGATCCGTCATGAGTATTTTCCCTCGATGACTAAGAAGTGTGTGCGACAAGGGACCGGCAGGATCAATCACTAGCTTCTTATTTTTTATCAAGATTCGATAACGAAGTTGCGAAGGCGAAGGCAATTGAGGATCGTCACTGAAGTCGGACTCGAAGAGGAATTTTGTCACCAATTTCTCGCCAAAAACGGACTGAAACAATGTTATATTTTTTTACCATAATTTAATTTAAGCGATAATAATCACTAAAAAAATATAATTTGTTAGATAATTAATCGAGTACCTGAAATATTTGAGCCATACGAGCTTGCTGACTTGGCGAACAGTGATTCTCGATGGAAAGGATTACGGGATAGGGGGAACTGACAAAAGCGCTTCGATCGATCGCTTCCACAACCGAGCGAAATGGTATTTTCGTAGTGAAAGTATGACCATGATAAATCAATGGTGATCCATCGTCACCATCCCAACAATCGAGTTCTACACAGCGACATCCAGTTAAAAGCACCTGCACAATTTTTTTTGGTAATCATACAATAAAGTCCTAAATACAATGCGAGGCAACAGCGATAGTGATAGAAATAACAATAGTAATGACGATATAGTGATAGAAACAAAAGAATCCAACATTCGGAAATGCATATGTCAATGCACATATAAACACAGAATAAGACAATAACGATAACTTTCCCTGACGAGTTAGAATTTTGTTATCGCTTTATGGTCTACCAATCAGCGTTCAGATATTTTATCTTAAAACAAATGAAAGAATACACTACAATCTATACGCGATTAGCAGGGAATGGAAAGTTACTTTTTAAAAGTAACTAGTTACAGTTACTCGTTACCGAGTAAAAAATGTAACTAGTTACAGTTACAGTTATCGCTTTTTAAAAGTAACTCGTTACAGTTACCGTTACTTGAAAAATAACTTTTCGTTACTTTTCCGTTACTTTTTTAAAATCAATTTAAAAATGTACTTTTGCATTTTATTTTAATATGTAATACTGACAAATATATAGTTTTATTTAAAAAAAAAACAATGTAGAATGGCTCAAATAATAAATTAAATAAAAGTAAAATGAGAAGGGTTACGAGCCAAAAATGAAACAGTTTATTTCTGATAAGAACGACGATGACAATGTAATTAAATGTATAAATATATATTAGAACAAAACAAAGATAAAAGCAAACGACGTTTCGACACTTATTGTCATCGTCTTTTAAACTGTTTCGCTTTTGTGTTCATAGCCCTTCTCATTTTACTATTATTTAATTTATTTTTTAATTTTTTTTAAACACAATTTTGTAATTCTAAAACCTGTAAAATATGCAGCAAACTGAAATATTTGTATGTCCTATGTATTACATAGAAGATAGAAGTGTAAAATAATTACTGAATCATAACGGCCGAATGTCTAAGGGCTTTCAAGTCTTATTGATAAGCGCTATAAATAGCATGTATCCAATCGAACCGTGTTCAATCGTGTGCAAAGTAACGACAAAAGTAACTGTAAATTTCGTTACCGTTACCCAAAAAATGTAACTCGTTACCGTTACAGTTACCAAAAAAAGAAAGTAACGCAGTTACCAGTAAAGTTACCAAAAAAGTAACTTGTAACTGTAACTTCGTTACAAGTAACGAGTTACTTTCATTCCCTGGCGATTAGATTAGTTGGCATTTTTATTTCTTTCGCGACGTTGTTCAACGGAATGCGACAATTATACATCGCTTATTTCTGTACTATTCCTGTCGCTGTTCTTGTTGCTATTGCCTCGTATTGTGTTTAGGGCTTAAGTTTTATACAGGCTAATTACTATTTTGTTTGAATGGAAATTTATGTAACTTATTTTATGCGTATCAGAGGAATGCATTTTTTTAACTGACATGTTTTTTCATAATTATCGGATATATGTATGTATATATTTTCTGAAACGTTTAGAGTGAATCTCATTCTTAGATATTGAAAATTGAATCACTCTTTTGCAAGAAATTCTGAAATTCTACTTCAAAGAATTAACTAAAATATAGAAAAAATTTTTTACTTATTTATATATTATGTATGTTATTGAATAATGATTGTTTATTAATAATGCATAATTTGAAATTCGTTATAATGAAAGAAAATTATAATAGTATTCTTGTAAAAATAATTCATATTTTATTCATATTTTTCTATGAAGTTTATTTATTAAGCAAATCTATTTTTGAAAGTCATAGGATACCTGCGAGTATAACTGTACGGACGACTCTCCTTTGAGTTGATGTCCGGTTAAATATGTGTTGTGGGAACTCGCGATGTAATATTGCGACAAAGGCTGCTGCATTTCGGTTTCGGACGGTGTTGCATACTCGTTCGGGAAGGCATAATTGTCCTTGTCCATCATATACCGTGCAAAACCCTCGAAAGACAAACACCACTGTGTGCGAAGTGCCGGATCCGGTTCATGCCTCTGAAATGAGAATAAACGGGCTCGTTTGATTGTGTTACGTCACGTTTTTTGAACGCGCGTATAATGATGTCATCACATGAGCATGGGAAAAAGTTGTCTTCTATTTCTAGAGAGAAAAATTGAAATCACACATTTCGCTGTAATGAAATGAAAGGATTATTTATTGTCTTCAATAAGAATAGTTTATTCGACAAAAAATTAAACGCAAACACTTTAATAGTAATCTAGCGTATAAAATATTAGGGGATATTTTCTGTATAAAAAAAAAGTTGTCAGAGAGAAATGAGGTCCTCGAGCCAATATTCTATCGTAAGAGAATTTCTGCCCCCATAAGCATTTACCTTGATCAGCGCCTTGATTTCGTCGTCGCTCAACTTTTCCTGCTGCCGAGACTCCAGAAATTTCGTAAATGTTGCTAGAGTGATTACTTGCGATTTTGACGTATCCACGCCCGAGCAATTATTGATTATACTAGCCGCCGCGACAGCATCAAAGATCTGTTTTTTTTGTAGATTGCTGCCCGTCTTGTATTCATGACAGTCAATAGAGTTGTTTCTCGTTAATAAACCTGGCATATTAAAACGTAGATTACTCATTTTAAATAACATTTAAAAAAGTAATCACTCAAATGTTTATTCTTTTTTTAATAAAAGTTAAAAAACAGTTATACATATATTAAAACAGATATAATTATGATGACCATTTTCGATAAATATCGGCAAATATATGCTAATTGGGTTGATTATAATAAAACATAATAATGTGAATCTAATTTATTTCATGCAAATTATTAAGTAGGTTAACTTTAAGAATTATTATTACATTTCCATTATCACGATTAAAGAACTGTTTTGTGCGTCAAATTCTATTTTTCATTCCTTTAGATTTGCACATCAAATTTAATGGTTATATCGGCTTACCGATTCTTTGTGGAGTGGCATCACTGGTCTGTCTGAGCACCACCGGGCGAATGTTAAAGTCCCTTAACGATCCATCACTCTGGCTACGACATGTTATTGCTAATTGGCTGAACAGATCACGCAAATCTTTTCTGGCTCGTAAGCTGAATGATCGGAAAAGCGCGACGAACTCCACAAAGTTTAATTGTGTCTCATACATGATCGAGGTAGTGCGTGCTTTCATATGCCAAGGAGCCTCTAAGCCTCCTGATATACCACCAGATCCATTCTTGTCCTTTTCTCTGGCGACACATAACAAACTGCGCACGTGTTATTGCGAAGTGTTCAAGAAAATTTGTCGATCATAATACAAATAATTGAGAGGTTCTTTTTATAGAATTTTATAAAATTCTATAAAAATTATTTTAAAATGTTTTTTATTTCTTATTTTAAAAACATATTTATATATTAAAATATGTTCCTAAAATATTTTGATTATTTACATTTACAACTGACAAAGTTGCTGAAAGAGAAAAAGTACAAAAATACTGTTTATTATGTTTAAAAGAAGCAAAATTGAAAGAAAAACAACAATTTGAAAATAAAAACATTTTATAATTTTTTTTTAAATTGTCAAAGCGTATCGTCAAAAAAAGATTCTTTTTGCATCACGTTATTATATACCTAATTCTTTTTTAGATATTATTAACTCTACATTAATTTAAAAAATTCTAAAATATCGTTTATTTAGAATAAACATAAGAAGCTTCAACTTCAAAGAATTGTTGCTTAAAAAAAGAGAAAATAGCAAAAGTTGCTCATTTTTATCGCTTTAAATGAGAAAATTTTCTTAAATCTATAATTCAGATTTATGTTCGAATAAGATTCAACACGAAATTGTAAAAATTTCCATTGCGATCTATATAATTCCAGACCTATATAAATTATTTACTCGAAATCGGTAGATAAAGAGAATTTGATGCAAAGAATTAAATGTGTGAAAGAATGACGTACCTTTGAAAAGCGGAGTAAGGCAAGTTGGAAGTGATACGATCAGCAGAACCGGGCGGACTACGTGGTGGGATTCGATCTCGGCTTGCTCTCGGTGACGCTGGCAGAATCCTCGTTAATGACTCTCTACTACCAGCTACATGACGAAGAGGTGTAGCGCACAGACCCCCATCCGAGGTCGAGGAGTCGTACTGTTTTACACTCAGGTCCTACGTTAAATCAAATCTATTTAATTCGATGAAAACACTTATTTCCGAAATTAAATACGACATTTGGAATGATCTGTAGTCTAATTTATGTTTATTGTAAAAGATGCAAGATAAATCTGTGCGAACCTTAGTTAATGCATGAATGTTGCCAATCGATTTTGTCTTTTTGCCTTTAACATTTCGTTTGCGTAGAGTGCTGCTGCTCGTTGGAGACAGCGTACCAACACTTTCTGTCATAGACCAATCGCGACCGCCGAAAATGCGAATAGCGTCGGCTGTCGTCGGCTGCTCCAAACCTTCTATCGGTTGTTCCAAGTAGGAAAAGTATAACTGAAGATATTTTTCTTTTAACCAGCGCGATCTACGATCTGTTAACTGTTGTTGTCGTTTGAGGCCACGCAATATCCAACACAATCCCATATACCATATTCTGAAAACAAAGCAACATGCAAATTACATGTATATAGCTCAACATTATATGCGTAATTTAACGATAAATCATAAATTATTAGAGGGAATTATTGAACCCGTTCAAAATACGTACGAAATGTTTGTTATTAATATATTGCTCGATAATTGTATCGAATATTATGAACGTACGTATTAATATACCATTAATGAACTCAGTCTTCTGGTGGTAAGATAGATTAATGGCATAATAATTAATTTGCTCGGAAATTTTTTACGAATAAGTTTATAGCATAAATAACACATCAAATAATTAAATTAAAAAATAATTATCTGTGAAATAAAATCTCAAACATATAAATCAAAGAAAATTATTCTGAAAAAAAGAACATAAAATTAATTAAGCATCTTTAATTTTGTTAATAAGATGAATATTTTTTTTATTTTCAAATCAAATGATGTGGGATATGATAAATTTCAAATCTCCTTTTTTCCTCTGCATTATTGGTGAGAAATATTCAAAAATTAATCGACGTGCACAAAACTAGCGAAATAATTGATACGTACTTGCTAAGAGCGGGAGGGCAAAGTAGGAAGATCAGTCGATTGTCCGGAAGATTGGAGCCATACATAAGGCCGATGCAGCAGTCGGAGCCAGGTAGGCCGTATCTCTTACAGATGCTCCTGAGATCAGCCTCTCGATCGCGGTCGCAACAGCCGATTATTATCTCTTTCACCGATCCCAGGTCGAGATATCCCTCCTCCAAAGTGACAGAAGCGCAGTCAGCCTGCTGCTGCGTGTACCTGCCAACTAGGCCCGCTGGTATCGTATCCTCCGGGTTCGCGGTGAGCGAAACCTCTGTGGGAGCGGCACCTCCAACTTGAGTCGTTTTTAGAGGACTCCAGGGTGGCTTTTCCCATACGAAAGTGCCACAAGCGCGATCGACGCGCGCGAATACCAATGCTGTTCTCGAGGCACCCTCACAGTCCCAATGCACCAAAGTCGTACCATGATGTAGCACCTGAGATGTGTAGTTTTAAGGAATATAGTGAACCGTGTATAGATCAATGGAAAAGGTTCCTCGATTTTCCATCAGTTTATATTAACCCTGGAACGCTATTGATATTCAATGATACAATAATGTTGTAAATTTTATGTAAGAAATAGACCATTCTTAATTCATTCATTAAGACAAAATTTTCATACATTTTACACTTTTAATAACAAATATTTATAATCTAAAACTTTATAAACACAAATAATTTAACTATTGTTATAACTTAAAAAAAAGAAAAAAGTAAGCATATTATATTAAATCTTAAATAATATGTAGTCCAATGTTTTTTCGTAACACTTAGAGTAAACCAACCAGTAAATGACCAAATTGTTGAATTCTCTGTACGTTTGGAGATAATCCTTGAATAAATTCACACAATAACAATAGATCAACCGTTAAAATTACATTTAGAAATTATTTTCTTTTAGATATTCATAAAAATAATTACTTTTTCTTATTGTAATTATTTTTAAATTAATTATAAAGTGCAGAGCACGCATAAAAGCCCAATAGATGACCACATACACCCATTGAATGACCGAATATAAGCTAATAAATGACTAGTTAATTAAAACACTAAAATATCGTAGGAAAAATAATAAAAGGTACTGAAATACTATATAATTATATCTAGATTGACGGGATAGGTAATTGATCAATAAAATATATACGACAAAGGATCATTTCACTTGCAGTATTCCTTATCTTTATTGAAACATATTTTTATTTGAAGTTTAAAATTAGAAAACTTAACTTTTTAAATTAAGTAAATACCTTTTGCTATTAAAATAAAGTAACATTTTTAAAGCGTTTACATATGTGTACAAATTGAAACTGTTAAATTTATCTCAAAATAATCAGTTTCACAGACAAAAGAAACTTAAAACTGTTAAATTTAACTTTAAAGAATGTCTCATGTAATCACAGACCACAAATTAAAAGTAATTATATGTTCTTTTTCCTCACGCGTGCACGTAATGTGCCTTATACCGCAACGCTTTTGCGTGCGGTAAATAGCCAATACCTCAAGCCGTTGAGTTATTTCTCTAACCCCACGCAAAAGCGGTACATTGTGAAAAATAGCGCAAGGCAGTGGTAGCGCTCGTACAAATATCAACACGGAGAAACGCGCCGACCGGAGCGTCCTTTCGGGGCATCTGGGGGGGTGG